ACTAACCATTTGATTGGTAACAATCTCTTAACATGTTTCTGACAATATTCTCTTTCTAGGTCATAAAGAACTGAAATTCATGTATTTTTCAATACACCCCATCACCTGTGTGACCCCAAAAAGTTCAATTCAAAACTGCAGTCAGTGAAACCAAAGTTACTTTTAGGACTGCACACTTAAATAAGCTTTCTACACAAAATCTACTGAATATTACTAGCACAGAATCATTAAAGACGTAAGGGACCTCTGAAGGTCTAAGGTCCCTGCTCAAGCAGGGTCACCTAGAGCAGGCTTCCCAGGACACTGTCCACGTGACACAGTACTGCAGAATATCCAGGGCAGTGCTTGACATCTACTTAGTCAATCACTCCATCAGACATGTCTTAAATTGCCTTATTTCTTCATTATAGGCCTACAGTTTTTTATAGATGCTTTTGGTGGAGGAAAGGTATGAGATCATTATTTCAAGGCCCTCAGAGACCGTAGGCTGCATCACCACAGACAGCAAATATAGTCTGCATATAAAGATTAAAAGGATAATTACTGGAGTAGAACAAATGTCTGTGCGAAGGACTGACCTGATGTTGTGTAAGGGAAACAATATCTGGGGGGAAAAAATTCCTCACAATGGGATTTGGTTACATCTGTATAATGTTAAAACTGCCCCTCATTACTCAAAGCCCACCAGAACCATCCTATTTGGCACAATTATTTAAGATTTTCTACAACTGACAAAGCCCTTTACAAACTCGCCAAACAGGCAAAGCCAATTCACAGATTGACAAAAATTCACCTCCCCAGTGAGGCCATGAATCAACACATACACGAAACTAAAATTAAACTGATACGACTGTGGATAAACACATTCCTTGCATTTTTTTTTCCAATTGGAAATTGACCCACGTTTGGTTTGAATTAAAGATTCATCGCACTGAAACAAATAACTAAATGGAAAGATATGAGTCCCTTTGAAGAGCGTGCAAATCAAATTTGGGTGATAATTAGCAGCAGATAATTGAAACCTACTGTTTATTTGCACAGAACCTGATGTTACTGAGCTACCTCTGGAACAGACAAATAGAGCTGCATATTCTGCTTTCCATCCTCCTTTTCTTTTTATAAAGCTTTTACAGAAAGCTTTTGTAGCCTTGTTAAATAAATGAAGGGGAAGAGGAAGCAAACAAAAATCCTTTTTTTTTTTTTTTGCTGTTCTAAAAACTAATGGACCTTTAAAAACTTCCATCTGCTGCTTCTCCTCTTCCTCTCCCATACACACGACAAAACTGGATTTTGAGTCAAATATTGCCTTCAGATTGCAGCACAAACAAACAGATCTATATTTGAGCACAAGGTTTTGAGGCTTCTTTAACCTAGTCACACCATCTGTGGTGGCATGGTTTACTCCAACCTTCAGTCTCAAATTCTTTCAATGCCTGGACCCTGGTATCATAGCCATAAAACTACTATTAACTAACTTTTTGGACTGAAAGAGCATTGGCAGATGGAAAAAAAAGGGAAATAAATCCAGTTTTCTCTGTCACCCATCATTTCACCCTGATATCTGGACTAGTATTTATTTCTACCAAGCTAACCAGGTAAGAAAGAAAATACCTTCACTTCTCTTGAGGTAGATGCCAAACACATCTGCATACAAATAGCAGAAGGTCTTAGCTAGAGAGTTTACGAATTGAAAACATAAGCCTGAAATCCTCCAAAAGTTAATACATCTCACTTATGGAAAATGGGAGCACAGATAAAAAGTGATGATTATTTCTAGGATCTTGCTTGATCACAATGGCTCTGAAACAAACCAGGCAGCCTCTGACAGTGCTGTAGAAGCATGTCAAAGTGACTTAAGGCTAGAAGTGTCTGAGAATACTTTATTACTTACTTAGGAGCTTCAAATTTATTGCCAAAATGAAACGAAAGAAAACAAAATCAGAGTGGGGTGGCATCTCCCTTGTGGCTTCAACAAAATCAAATGTGGTATAATTCAACTTTTAAAAAACGCAAGTCTTCAACTCTCTAGGAGGTAAGTTTTAACTCTCAGAGTGGCTGTCACAGAATTAAAATTGCTCTCCTTAATAGATGAGAGTAACATGATCCATTTTCATAAAGGGAATACTAATTACTAGAGGTGTCATAAAATTGTATATGTTTCATTAAAAACTCAAAATATACTCTAATCGATGGGGAAAATTTAACCTCAGAAAAAACCAGTGTAGTAGCAAATAGATTCCAAACCTCCCAAAGACTATGTTGTCAATGATGTTCATTCAGTATCATGAAAACACCTCCCCAAATTCCACAATATTTTGGAATTGACTCACAGTTTTTAGTAATGTTCTTGCTCAATTTAAAATCAGACCATGCATATTTGGTGTATTCTTTCACAAACAGCTTTCAAACTGTGTGCTGAACCCATCCTTGCAACTATTAAGACATACAAATCCCCATCTGAATATAATATTCACTAAATTCATTCTTCACCCAGTGACATCCAAGTATTTTCACAGAGGTGCAAGGGGGAAAAAAAAAGGCAGTATGTTTAATATTTTTAAGTATGTTAATCATATTATCTACTACATAAATGGATACACTAGTATACAACTCCCTGTGTGTATATTACATCCTATGTTTTTAAAATCAAGTTTTAGTCATTTAAAACTCAAATGTCCCCACAAAATCCATCCCAAACACACACCTACCCACCTTCCCGCTCATCTCTTCCAAACTCTAGAGCCTCGTCTCCTTCAGCCTCATCTGAATTTCCTTCTCCATACATAAAGCTTTCCAAGTCCCTGTTCCTGAGCACTCGGCATCCAGCCTTCCATAGACATAGCAGACTATAGTCTGCTATTTGCCCTTGTTAACAGGGGCCTTCAAAATCCCTGATTAGTTTTCCCATGGAAGTAAGGTGAAATTCAATTATCCAACCTCACTAATATTAACCACATGCATTTCTATCCTGTGGGCCATTTGTCAGCCTCAGATACACCCAGCAATATCACACAGTGAGACGAACCACAGCACGTTTCCACCGACAGTGACTCCACTTCCTGGACAGTCTACTCTAGTGTTTAACAACCCCTTCTGTGAAGAACTTCCTCCTACTGTCCAGCTTGAACCTTCCCTGGCACAGCTTGAGGCCACATCCTCTTCTCCTGTCACTAGCTGCCTGGGAGAAAAGGCCGACCCCCAGCTACACATAAATAATACAAAAGAGCTTTAAATTCTGATTTAGCCTGTTCCTCCATTTGTAAAACATTTTTCCCCACAAACCAATATGATATAAAATCCAGAAAAAAATAAAATAGGGTTTTATGCTCAGCACACAACAGGGCAACTTAAGAGGTTTTTGCTTTTACAACAAAAATATTGGTTTAACTGAACACTTTGTGTCCTTTGATGGTTTTCTTCCCTAGTACAGGAAGCTCCCTCAAGCTTGCTTGGTGTTTCCCTATTGCAACTCGTTATTATTTACACATTTTTTCCATTTCCTATACAGTGACCAGTTGCAAGACTAGTATCACAAGCAGACAAATACACACAGTGCATTGCATCTGTGCAGCAGCTCCCTTGCTGAGCAGGTCTTCACTGGAACTTATTTTTGGCAATGACTTTCTTTAACCAAAGTCCCAGCTGACTCCCCCCAGGTTGTCATGAAGACTTCTTGCATTTCTTGAAGCTGTCTAACAAATGCATTGTTGTGAAAATGCCAAGAAAAAGAGTGTATCATTTTAAAGAAAAAATTCAAGTGGTTCAACACTTCCTGAAGACAAAAGGGATTTCTCTAAGGTTTAAAATCACTTATTTGCCAAGCTTATTCTGGAAATTTTTTTCTTTGTTCAGATCCTTAAAATAAAAGATGTTCTGACTTTCTCAAATAAGCTGCACATTAACATACGTACCCAAATCTTCAGAAATTCTGCCATGAAAGTTGGAATAAATATAACAACTCCTATCATAAAAATGCTACTGAAAGGCAATTAAAAAATACACCATGTTCCTGTAACAAAAAAATGTTCTAAAGTGAAGACAGTTGCACAGTAAACTGTACATAAAATGTTCACCAACACAAAAAGTTTGCCTGGTAATTCTACAGGGATATGACAAAAAGAAAAAAAAAAAAGATGCTTAGCCATCCTAACCCAAATAGAGATTAAAATAATATACAAGTGATTTTATTAATTTTCTTACTGTCTGAATCAATGTGGGAAGTATTCAAAAGGCACATTTATTTTGTCTCATTGGCAAAATAACAAATACTAACCATGAAGATTTCTACCTTTCAACACTGCAGGCCCTACTCCAAGTTGAGAGGCAGTGCACTTCACCAATGTTCTGTTTCCACAGCATCCAAAAATAAAGTGCTGAAGTTCCAGGCATAAGAGCTTTACTACATTAGAATCTCAGCATGATTTCTGAAAAATTCAATCACAGTAACAAAAGGTTCATCACCCCTCTAAAAAAATAGTAGGAAGATTCATTGTATCACCTGCAATTGCAGTATCTTCTCACAGCCAAAAGGAACTGGAAATATTGCAACACAAGTATCTATAATGAAATACAATGTACTCAACTCTGAATCCTGTAGCACGGATGCAGCAGCTGCCTAACAAAAGCCCACTCTTTTCTTCTGTCTCCCCGAGGTATCAGGAAAATGATGTGTCTGCCTTGTGAAAAAACAGTGGAGGAGAGAATGTCTCAACAACCTCACCAGGGCAAGAGTTCCAACAAGGCAGGACCATTGGCTCTCTTGTAATTTGAAGATTAACGTTACTGTATGTAGTCACAATGCTACAAGAAACAAATCCTAATAGTGTATGTTCAGAAAGATGCATAAGGAGTATGGAAAGTTGGCCTATTGAGTATTTTATAATTTGCATTATAAAAAGCAGAGGAATATTTTGCAATCATGTTACTTAAAACTGAGAACAATTCTCTTTTGCAAATGTAAATACTCAACTTGGTTAAATCAAGACAATCACAGATAGACATTTTTTCCCAAATCTTTGGCTGTATTGCAATGGTTGTTTCAATTTGTAATCTCCAACTAAACATTTCCTATCCATGGATTAACAATATATTTACTGACTTGTGTCTTTTAACAGTATTTATCCAACATAACAAAATAAACTGCAATTTGTTATACTTTTTTTTTTTACAAAACATTTTATAAATATTTTTACAAAATGTATACAAAGCAATTTCAAGTGAGACATACTTTACAAATGAAGGTATTTAAGCAAATAAAGTCCATACCACACTGACAATAAGTGACACATCCTCTTTAAGTGAAGTCAGTCTGTAAGGCCTCCCTACTCTAACAGATAAATTATACTAAAATCTTCAAAATGAACATAGTTTTCTTAATTGCCAGTTTAAAATTTGTTTTACTATTAGGCAGTATTAAATAACATTGAAATCACAATGCTGATCCAGCAAAATAATGAAAACATGTTTAAAGTCATGCACATTCACAATACTTTGCTGGACTTGAGCCCATATGATTAATAAACTTTTTTTTTAAGCACCACAAAAATACAATTCTTTCATTTACTGCTTCATCACGTACCAGAATTCCTTTAGAATTGAATTCAAAGGAGTGAACAACAGGACATTAACAAACTAAGATCAATTTTGCTAGGATTGTTCAATGGGTTCCTCTCACAAGCAGTTCAGAGAAATGTGTCTGACCAAATCAATCACAATTACTTTTTGTAATTTGTCCTTTTTTATATACCATTTCCCCCCCTCCCCAAATGAGATCCAATAGAAGACACATAGCCTGATACTTCAATTATGTATTTGCTGTAGAGAGGCTGGAAACCCCATATCCATTTTGAGGTGGTACAAAAAGCAAGGGGATTAATGAATGTGCAACTTCACTTTTTTTTCTTCTCTATAAAAGAAAAATTTAACTGGTTAACATACAGCTGTGAAACTTACTGCTCTCCTTCCAAGATAGTTTAGAATGGTTAAATTTCCAAAATGATAAAATAAAATATGCATCAGGATACACAGCCATGAGCATATTATTAAATCTAAAAAGGCAATAGGTGAAGACTATATTGTCAGTTTTGCCAATAAGAAAACAACTAACTGCTTGAGAGTCTATTCTATGGACACCCAACTAAAAATTTAAAACTGGCAATACTTCTTATTATATTGAATATGTTATACAACACTTGGGAATGTTGGGTTTTACAAACAGGTACTTTATAATTGGCACAATTTTTTTTAAATGGCAATTAGTAACATACAAAAAACAGTATTTCCATTCATGTTGAAGGGGAAATTAATTTTAAGGAAGTTCATCTTTCTCACATTGCTTTCTAGATTTGGTTTCCTTTAGTGGTCAGACAGTGGACTGTAGTTCAATACTGAGTTGCACTGTAATGTTCTACTATCACAAGGATCTAATTCTGCTTTCTTCTGCGCTATTCAGACGGACTGAATTACACAATAGCAAAACCTTTTGTTTTCTCTCCTGGCAATCTGACTGACAACCACAGCTTGTCACAACGAGCCTCTATCTCATGAAAATCATAATCAGCAAGTCTGAAAAATGGTTGGTAATTTTTCTAAGAAATTGTGGAGAAGTTCTGGGGAAAAACATGAGCATACCTTAAAAACCACAAAAGCTATATCCTCCTGAGCAGACATATGTACTGCACGCACGTGACCAATGTCAGCGCGCTTATGTGCATAAAAGCACTCATGACCAAAGTAAACTAGGACAAAGCAGCATGGGCAGCAAAAAAAAAAAAAAAAAAGTCATAGATTAAAATAAATAAATAAAATAATAAGATTCTATCTTAATAACATGACAGCAAGCCAGATACAAACCATGCAATGGTTTCACTTGGCTCTACAATATGAATTAATAATTACACATTTTTTGATATGTTTAAACAATGGGATCGCTGATCAACTTTGGTCTGTACATATCTTGATAATTATGACTGCTACGGTGGATGATTTAACATTCTCTGACAGCAAAACAGCAAAAAAATAAAAAATAAACACTGGCCTTTAAATTTAATCAGAGTAAGGCTAACGTCCTCTTAAAATATAAGCTACAAATACAGTTTTCAAATAAAAGTGCTTTTGACACTTGGTCTAAAAAAAAAAACAAACAACAAATAAAAAAAAAACAAACATTTATACCACTTCAGAAAGACTCAAGGCTGACTACATCCAATTATAAAATGCAAAATCTTTTCCTCAAGAGTTAACATATATATGTATTATATATATAAATTCATGGCTCTCTCATGGCCTCATCCTGTACACTTTGCCATTTACTGGCTTCCATTCTACCTTCCTTAGTCAAGCATTTATTACTTCATATCATGCCACTGTGACTAAGATCATAAAATATCATCCCACAGACTAAAGTTACCCACTACAAATATATCAAGTACTAGTTTCTGCTCAGAAAGCAATAGAAAAGCACTTAAAGTTTAAATTATGAAGCCTTGTAAACACACTGATGATTTCCTTCCAACTCAAGAATCCTAGAATACAGATTCATCAACAAAGCAAATAATCACTTCTGAATAGAGGTACAGTGGGTTTTCCAGAAAAATTAAAAATTTGATGATTTGTGGAAGAGAGGGTAGGGGAGAATTGTTGCTTCCATCACTCTTTAAAAACATTTTCTTAATAAATATATCCTTTCAAATGACTGTGATTGTCAGTATATTACCGTATTATATAGGGCCTAACGACCTGCAACCTTGTTATGTTGCAGCATTGCTCAATTAAAAGCGCTATCATAATAATACTTGAAACAGTAAGGCCCTAACAGACTGCATTCTAACAAGGATTAACTTTACTTGGATATCTCACTGTAACCACAATGAGTATTGCTCTCAAACACAGAACAGAATCTAGTTTAGAAAGGTTAACCTTAAATGCATGTCAGGCTGTACTTGTGGTGTCATTCACATTTGCTTCTGTCAAGAGAAACATAACTTGTCCATGGTACTGTAACTATTAACACTCTAAGATACTATTTACAGCTGCTTCTAAAATAGAGTCAGTTTCTACAACACTTTCACTGTGGTCTGGAATAAATTTTTCCAGGCAGTTCTCTTGTGAAGCAATAGGTGAAAAATTGGGAAATTCTAATTCAACGGAGCCACTACTTGCCGCCTCATTTTGTGGCTGCCTCCCAGCTTTTTTAAGTTCCAAGATGTTTTTAAACGTAGTTTCTAAACTCTTATTGAGCAGTAAGTCTTGCTGGGTTTCACCAGAGCCTTTCCTGTTATCAGGATGCAAAACCTCATTCTTTGGAGAGCTCCTCAGAGTTTTGTCTTGAAGAGAATTATTACACGTTACCTTTGAGAAAGATTGAACTGTGTTCCTTGATATCTTATTCTGTGTCCCATGACTGCCTCTTGACACAGCTTTTGACAAGTCTTCAGAACTCAAAGAATTCTCAGTGGACTTGGCAAGATCTTTCCCAGTCATCCTTTCTTCAGAAAGGGCCACATATTGGCTCTCAGAAGAACAATTAGCTTTTTCAAACTTTAAAGCTTTAGTGAGGCTCTCCGATTTTTTAGTAGAAGCTTTTCCTTCTTGTGGGGTCAGAATGTTGTTAGGCACTAGAGGAAGTTTACTGTGATTTGTGGACTCTGCTGAGCTGGATTTTGGTCGGTCTCTTGCTTGGGTTTTGGTACTCTGACTTCGAGAAGGTAATGTTTTGCTAGACTGATGGTCACTTTTGCTGGTCTGTGCTTCTTCAGCTGTTTTCTCCAGTTGTTTGGCAGAACAACAAAAATCAGCCTGATAACCATCTGAAAATTAAGTAGCAACATTTTACTAAAGTTATCTACACACAAAAATAACTGACATTCCAATATAGCTTCTGAGTATTGAAATTCAAATAACATCCACGCTTACAGATTTGGGTCTTCAGGAGATGTTCATAAACTTAAGTGTTCTGCTGCATACAGTGCAAGAGATTATCACTAAATTAACCAGCACACCAGGCACGTATGTGCACTTTAAAACCAGATTAAGGGTTCTTCCCAGCATTCTCAATATGCAAATATGGTCTCTGGAAGACTAATACTTTCTACAATACATCCTGTGAGTATCTTTTAAAATATGTAGAACTTTTAAACAAAGAGTAGCTGTTATCTTACACAAATAATGTGTTTCTAGGTGCTACATTGGACAACATTCTGGTTAAAAAAGGCTGCCGTTTAAGTGGCCATGATACTCCAAAAGCAACACTTCATTAAGATGAACAAGAACATCCATGCTTCATATAGTGGTGTTCTTTCTAGCAGCAAGAAACTCACAGATTCTTCCCTGCTAGAACTGACATCATGCAGAAGTCATGACTATTTTCAAAAGAAACTCAAAAATATTTCTGCCAAACAGGTCAAATATATTTTTTTTCCAAAAATAACTGCTTCAACCTTACACTGTCTCTAGATTGTTGGATTTTGGAGTTATGAAAAGTTATCTTGCAACTGCTTATTCACTATTTTGATTACTGGAATCCACAGCAATCAGTGCCCCACTGTGGTCACAACTATTTTTAAACACTCCACACTTAATTTAGAAGTTAAGCATTACTTACCAGGATCCACAAGTGCAAGACGCTTATCCCGGGTCAGAGATGCCCTTTCCTCCTGGTTAAACATCCTATCAATCATAACCATTTCTGCAGAGGGATTTATCCGCTGCAGGAAAAGGAAAAAAAAAAATACATCTCTGTAGTGACTCATATATTGGTACGAAATCAAAACATTTATTAGTTACTCTTCAGAGAAAAAGAAATTTCTTTCATTAGATATTTATGATGAATATTCACAATTCAAGAATCTTCACTCTGACCCAACCACTACTGAAACTTAATCATAACGTGTTACTCACACTTTACAGCAAATTTTATTTGGTAAAGATTTTAAACCAGGGAATTACTATTTCAATCATAACAACTGTACTTTTTCAGGACTGAGTACATTTACTACTGTATACCACAATTTTTTTTACATCATACAGTATCTTTCTCTTTTAGAGAGACAACCAGCAAAAATCTTGCAATGGGATCACCCTATCATCTTCCCTACACTTCTCTTCCATCCTTATAACTAGTTGGTGTTGGGTTTCATTTTGCTGACAGTGCCTTCAAGCCAGTTGGATCCATCCATCATGGAAGAAAGTTCACTGCACTAAGTCACAACATGGGCAACTAGTTTCAAACCTGAATGATATGTGAAATAACCCCTTCAAAATTACTGAACAGTATTTGCCATACAACATACCAGATGCTAAAAGAACAAATTTCAAACTCCTTCCCCTCTTTGCACCTGCAAATATTTGATGGTTAGGATCTTTTTTAAGGAACTGATAGATTCCAAAACCGTACTTATTCTAACACTTATAGTCTGCATTCCTGACTCTAAAGCAGAGTGATATGTCTATTATACTCAAACTCAAAACTTTTCCAGGCTCAAAAACTAGCATGTCTGAGGCCACAATGACATTTCCTGGTCCTTGTAAAATACATTCTTAAAGTAACTTTGTCCATTTTATTTTACCTCATATCTGGGATTGTGAAAGCACCTGAATCAGAAGCACTTCTGATGAAAATATGAGATTCCATCTAGCTTCTAAGGACAAACAATGATTACCTAAATTGGAATATGATTTGGCTCCAATTATAACATGGCTGGAGGCCTCTAAATAGACATTTTCAACATTATTTCACAGCGACAAAAATGCACAGAAATCACCTTCCTGACTATCACTGTCTGTTCAGTGCAAGAGCAAAGCAGAAGCAGCGAGTAGAGGCTCACGTGCCTTCAATGCCTATGGAACTTACCAGTTAACAGCACCCTTGCTTAGGCAGTATGTGAAATACAAACTCATTTCACTGACTTTAAGATGTGTGCAGACACTGAAAAATGCAGGTTGGCTCCACTGAGCTTGCTGGTGCAATAATAAGTACACTGGTTATACATGCACCTCCAAAACCTTTACAATATATTTATCATCTTCATAAGGTGATAAACAGTATCAACAGAACAAATTGTAATATTAGTTCTCACCTTCCTGTAGGTGTATATTTTTTTAACAAACTGAATTACATCCAGTAAACATGAAGTGTACCTGGGTTATACACCTTACCATTGCATCTTCTATTAGCAAACATCTGTATTTGTTCAGCATAGCTTGTGTCCTCTTCAGAAGCTGTGTGGCTACAGATTCAAATTCACTGTCCACTAAAAAGACAAAGTATACTTTCAAACACTGTTCTTCAGTAACCTGCACAAATTTTAAAATATTCCTTTTCTTATTGGTCTTACTTACATTAAGAATCCTCTCAATACACTGATTACAAAATTACTGCCAATTTTTAAAAAGAAAATTACCTTTTCTTAAGTCCTCCTCTGTTGGCAGTGATCCCTGGCACACGTGGTATGAAAGGAGTCTTTGAACTGCATCATTTAATGATCTGAACCGACTTTTATCTGGTGTCACGGCATGTACCTGATCCTTCTGCAATTGTTGTAGAATACTACAACAAAAATTAATGATATATAATTAACAAGTTACATACAGAAGTTTTTACATTGACAAAAACTAAAAAATTTAGGTTTCTGCAATAAAATTACAAAGGAAGAATGACTTACAAAGCTCCTTTAGTTAACTGTTTAGCAGCAGGCCTTTTCTGTCCAACTAAATGACCATCCACCTAAGTTCAAAATAAAAGACAAATTACAATATATCCCCTCCTTTGTAAAGCCTATCAGTATTTGTTTCTGTCATTTATCACCAACACTAACTGTAACCACCACATAAGCATAAACACTTTCAACTATCTCCTCTTTTAATAGGACACTGCATCAACAAATTAGCAAAGTCACATAAATCAAAGGTCTGAAATGCTATTTGTAGGTAAATTCCACTGTAGTGCATATATGTGCTTCACTAGGAAAGAGATTACCAAATTTAGCAGATGAAAAGGAGGAAAGGTACAACTAAAAATTTTTCAAAATAAATTTGCTCTCACAAACTGTCTCTGCATTTCTCAGAAGATTATATTCATATACTCCAAAAAAATCCTTGCAAGGATTCCCAGCTTGTTTGCTCGTTCCCTCCCCCCACCACAGTAAACCTTGTGGGTTGAGAAGAACAGTTTAATAATGGAAACAAAGTAAAATAATAATTACTATAAAATTGTAATGAAAAAGAGAAAGAGAGGGGAATTAAACCCAGGAGAAACAAGTGATGCACAATACAATTGCTCAGCACTCTCACTGATGTCCATCCCGCCCCCAAGCAGTGATCGGCGGCTCACAGCCAATTCCCTCATTTTTATATTGAACATGATGTTCTACAGCACAGAATATCCTTTTGGCCAGTTTGGGTCAGTTGTCCTGCCTCTGCACCCTCCCAGCTTCTTGTGCACCTCCTCACTGGCACCGCACAGGACACTGAAAAGTCCTTCACTTATTGAGTAAGCACTGCTCAACAACTAAAACATCGGTGTGGTATCAACATTATTCTCATCCTAAATCCAAAACACAGCACTATACCCACTACTAAGAAGAAAATTAACTCTATCCCAACTGAGATCAGGACAGACAGGGAAACACATAAATGAAAGTATTCTCTACCTGTATACTCTGTTGAACTGATGCTGATCCTATCACTTTTTCTTGTGGCTGTGCTGTTCCTAGAGATTGCGGTATGATTTTTCCTCCAGAGTCCTGTCCTATAATAAAATGTTAAAAAGACTCTGTCACCCTAAGCAAGAAGAGAATAATTTCATGTACCTATCCTGATAATTTTACTTGAGTTTTTAGGAAGGATATGTCTTACATGCTTAAAAGCATTAGTGTAACTAACCTGTGGAGAAACCGGTTCACACAAATGAAACAGGACTGATATTTTGTGCAGCAAACTACAAAAATCCTCAGACATAAATCACACCCTACCATAGTACTGCAAGGTAAGAAGAAATTCAAGTACCCTAAGTTTAGTGTCCCAACAATTTACTGAAAATTATACAGTAAATTTTTTCATATTTTCAATACTAACCCTCCCTCAAGCATATAAACCCAATTTTTCTAGAGCTCATGAAAGTATTTAAACAGCAAGTATATTTTTTTACCCCCTACATTTTTTAGGTAGGCAGACTTCCTCCAACTGCCTTGCTCCATAATTCAAATAGCATCTTATCAGTCATGCTATGTTACAACCCAAACAAATAGGAATTTATTGGGTTTTTTCCCGAAAAAACCACTCAACATACCGTGGTAATTGCAAAGAATTGCTGGGCAGCTTACACATAACAGTACACAAGGAATAGAAAAAAAGCAAGGTAGAGTATAGGACCTTATTCAAAACAGTTATATATGTACAGAGAGAACAGGAAGGTTACTGAATTTTTCTATTTGACTTGAATATACTGGTATTGTTCTTTCAGTAGCATGGTGCTGCTTGAAAAGCCCAGTATTTTGCCATGGACAATGCATTAACTATTCTAACTGAAAGTGGCACATTAAAAAACAAAGTGAGTGATGACAGCCTGCACAAAACGTTGTAATCACTATTTTTCTTCCCTCTGTATAAGAAGTAGCCACCACAACAGAGAATCTAGAAGTTTCAGAGATTTTTAGCAGATGTCTGTATTTTGAAAATTACTTATTTCTACTTTCCTAAGCTGAAAAAAAAGAAAAATTAAAGAAGGTACAATTTTGGATTTTATAGAGGGGAGAAATAATTGCTAATTGTGGAGATTCAGCTTTTCACTCTAGGAAATAAAGTACCATGGTTGTGAAAAAAATCAAAGCACGCATTCAATACTGAAAAAAATAGCTTGCATTCTTCTAAAAATTAAATTCCAACAACCTTTAGAACCCTATCAGCGTGATCCATCAGTGTAAGTCTGACACACTGAAGAACGAATCTCTCTTGCTGGAGAAAATTAAAAAAATTATGTTAAAAAGACCTTAGTTGACCTGATAATGTGTTGCTCAGAAGATTTGTTAGCTGAGGCTGTCTCAAATTATCCTGTGTCTTCGATGCAGAAACTGGCGATGTCTGGTTCACAGCCTTTTTCTGTGCCACATACATAAAATAAATTAAAAAATATTTTAAAAATCACAGTGAAATATTTACTGGAAGCTTTAAGAAACAGAAGGAAAAGGTATCTAAAATTCATCTCTGTGTATACTTTTTTAACCTCAAACTCATCAGTGGTGAAATTTCAGACATCTCAATTTCTCCAAGATCAAGAATTTCATAAAGTAAATCAAAGAGGAATAGAAATTACACTAACAGTACAAATATATACCAGTTACACTCTACAAAACCTCTGATTTGCCACTACAAGAGTCCCAAAACTGCGAGATAACAAAGTTGCTTTCACAACAAAAAAACCACACAGTGGAACAAACCATCCACTGTTCAGCAACTAAAATGATAAATGGTTTATCATACAATGTTTAAAACGGAAGTACAAACAAACTAAAAAGATTCTGGCAAACAGTGGCATTTGTTCTCTGTAGTTCCCATTTTCAGCTCTGAAATTTCAGCACGAAAGCAAAATGAACTTTTTAGCAATAAGAAATATTACGCTTTTATAACTGCTGAAACTCACTGACCCAGCACATAACCTACAAACAGGAAGATGTAGACACATGAAGAGAAAGTCAGAGAGGCCTCAAATTACTCAAACTACAAAATGCAACAACCTGCACTAGCAGTTTTGGCAAAGATTACAAATGTGGTTCTACAACATGTTTGTCCTTATTTTTTAAATACACATTATTTTCTAAGACATTATTTCATTGCAAATTTTGAGTTTGTTTAAAAAAAGAACTATTAGACCTTTGGAAAAAGAAAAAGAAGTAAAATAATTAGTGCAAATGCATTCTCAGACAGTTATCAATATTTTAAAGTGACCAAGAACAAACAAACAAAATAAAAAAAAAAAGGACAGAGGTGGAATAACTCATTGCTAATCGTGTGAGAAGTCCCTGAATTAAATACTGGCAGTTGACTTTAGAACCTTTTCGTTTTTGTTTTTAAACCTTTGACAGTTTGGAAGCTCTCTTATGAAGACACAAGAATTTGAGTTGAATATATACTGCAGCTTTATCTACTGGAAAAAACAGACCACTTCTCACCCTAAAAGTAAATTCAGATTTTTTTTAAACTATTACTAAGTAGACTTCTTAAAGTAAATTTTTTTACATGTTATGCTTTTACAAACTGCTTTAAAAGATTTTTCTTTCTAGGATTCTCAGAAACATTTCTTGTCTTTGCTTCAAATTTGAAAGCTTCTAACTGCTCCAGACACACAACACAGTGGGCAAAATCCCAATACAGCAAATAAAAAAAAAAAAAAAAGCCCAAGACACCTTTTCATCTCTAACTTGAAGAGGTCAAACCTTGAAAAACACATAGGTTTTAGTGAGGTCAAACAACTTTTAAGTGCTAAGAATATACCCGAGCCTTTACACGTAGCCTATGGTAAGGTTTTCAGGAGAGCTCACAATTGTATAAACTTACAGTGCCCATTCCTTTAAACAGGAGCAGAAATAGATCAATGCTAAGCACTTCTGAAAATATTACTACAAATCACCAAGTCTTCGGAATTAATCAAACTGACAGAGTCATTCATTCAGTGACAGATTTAGAAAATACCAAGTGAAAGGATGTCTCTGGGTTACAGTAGTTTTCAGCAGTTCCACAATATCTGGAACAATACAAACCAGCAAAATTAATGTTCTCTGTGCTAGCAGCAACATTAAACTTTGCTAACCAGCTTTTAGCACAGCTTAGAAGCATTTCTTTGGCCACACTCTCAAGCAGCTTTCATACCTGACCAAAGGCAAACTGCTGTTGTGTTACTCCACCAGATGTGTGACTGAAGGTGCTGACGGATTTGGAAGAGGACGCTGGAAGACGATGCGATGCACTGACAGAAACTTGAGATCTGTTCTGTATGAGCTGATCTCCTGTAAAGTTTCCTCCTGATGCGACAGACTGAACTGATGGTCCCAAGCTAGGATGTACTGAACCAGAAGAACTTGCAACAGCAAATCTGTTAGAAGCTGACATATTTGAGACTGTGGACTGCCCGGGTGACATCGCAGTGAAACTCGATCTACCTTGAGAAACATTAGCTTGACTGGGTGACAAATGCAACACCGTTGGTGATGCCTGCTGCATTGGCACCTGCCCACCAACAATTTGTGAAGTTCCATGGTTTACTATAACTTGGTTTCCAGGAGCTGTGAATGTCTGGCCAGAAACAAGCTGAACAGCTGTGTTCTGATTATTCAGCATCTGTCCTGAATACGACTGGTTGGCTCTTAGCATGTTTGTAGAGTTCCTGTTGAGCATTACATGCTCAGCAGACACTTGGCCAGGGACCAGCTGGGAAGGCTGAGTCTGAAGAAGCTGTCCATTTATGGCCTGGACATGATGAACTGAATTAGAATTAACAGACAAACTTGTAGGTATGAGAAACTGGTTTTGAGATGCGTGAGGCTGTCCCATAGGAGAATGGATAACAATACTACCTCCAGCATTGCTAACTGTCTGAGGTGTAACTGATTTTCTTGTATTTTGTTGATTAACAATATTAACAGACATATGAGGACCAACTACTGAGCTTTGAGGTGAGTTTGCAGAAGCAAAGGGAATCCCTTGCTGTACATGATGTTGCTGTATTCCCAAGTTATTCACATTGTAAGCAGTCTGCTGACCCATCTGAATCGGCTTTGGTTGGATATTAATAGGAACTTTGTTAGAGTTTGGTGCCAAACCCCTTTGAATGATGATATTATGGACAGGCAATGAAGTCTGAAAATTTGTGCTGTTAAATGGAACAGTTACGGGTTGTGCTACTGGACTTGAATTTGAGTTACTGAACAGCGAGTTCCCATTTGGAGTTTGTCTGTGAACCAAGAGCCCACTACTCATGTTTGCAGGTGTTTGCTGACCATTGCCTTTCAGTATTATCTGAGATCCATCGAGGTTATTAATGGTCATCATGGAAGGTTGATTACTAAATGAACCAATTAGCTGTATCTGCCCAGAACCACTGATCTGGCTGCTATTAGACAAATGCTGGCTGGGAACACTAATTCCGACATGTTGCATAAAGCCATGTTGCACACCGACTGTATTGCTTGCAAAAGATGCTCCAACAGGTTGCTGTACCACTTGAGTAACTCCTATAGGTTGCAACGTCTGACCTGAGTAATTAGAAACATTAGAAGCCTGAGTAAAGGATGCTGATGAAGAAGGATGAAGCTGAGCTTGTGCAAACTGTTGGCTAGAACCTACACTGGCATCCAAATATGCCTCTTCTGCCAAAGTCTGTTCAGTAATATTGGCCTCCTGCAAGGACTTCTGAAGAATATCAAAAGGCTGATCCTCAGTAAGATCAGGCAAAGGAGACGATACAAGTTCATCTTCAAGAAACTGAAGGCTACTGGACAGCTGCAGTCCATCACTAGGCCCCTCTCCAAGCTGACCGCTTACACCTTTTACAGACGACTTAGGATCAGTGCTCTGAAATGCAAAACAAGAAATAATTTTCATAAACTTCAACATCTACCTTGTTTTCTCATTTTTCTTCATGCAAGTAAATTTTCTACACAAAATTCCACTCTTCACATCGCACATATAAGGTGACATTCATCCCATACAGCAGGCCAGCACAAACACATATATCACTGACATCTCACTCGTGCCCTCAAACAGACTGCTGGAGCACTACTCTCATTTCCCATCTCAAATCTCCCAATTCCACAGCACCTAGCTCTGCAGCTGCACTGTTTCAAGAGGATTTGAAATGCTCTTTAAGTACCATTTTCCCTTCCTCAATCTGAGCACTGGACAGACAAAAGGACAAAAGAAAGGAGGAGTGAAAACACCTCCGCTGCAATTCAATTTCAGGCAAGGCTTCAGTAGCAGCGGTAGTAGCAGGGAAAAGGAAGGAGAAAGCTTCTCTTTCACTGACTTCTAGCAAATGACATCCCTCTCCAAAATCCTATCAGCATTTCTATAATCACTTAGTGTAAACAAGTGACCGTTTCATAAAGTTAAGAAGGAATTATTCTAATTCTTTAACAAAAATTTTAGAAACAAAGCAGTAAGAAAAGCAATGCTACAGACTTTGTGGTTTACACTACTAAAAAGATTACTGAGAACTATAAACATTGAAACTACCACAAATATTAAGTGGGTTTAATGAAAAAAATCCTTCAAATCTACATCCATAAACACTGTGATAAAGAAAATGAGAACCTATTTACTCTTGTCTACTGTTGTCCTAGTTAGAGCAGCCAGAACCAGTTCATCACTGTCTGGGTGTAACCCAAACTGTGTATTCTACACCCTCTATGACATTTCCCAGGAACTGTTAACAATAGACCACTTGCAGCAGCTGCCCAGAGCACACCTGACCCCTCAGGCTATAAGCCGGGTGTTAAAAAGCCTGTGAGATAGGAAGATATTCCTATCCTCACACCAATGATTCAGGTGTGATAACTCCCCTCCGGGGAGTCATTAGCACCTCCACACCCAGCCTGAGGGGTCATATCTGCTAATGGGCCAACAAGAACTCCAAAAATATCTCACGACTCACAATCACCCCTTGTGGAATTCCCCGCCCTGGGGGAGGTACTGGGCATTCCCACTGGAACCTGAGTGTATATAATTTTGGGGTCTTGGGACTTCTGGTACCACTCGTCGGATCCAGAGGAGGATCAGAACTTCAACCGGACTGCAGCCACCACTCTTGCCCAGACTGCGACCAGCACTCGCACCAACAGGTTTTCCTCCCCTTTTACTTTGGACTCAGGGGGACCACGTGGGGCTCAGCAGAGGGGCCAACGAACACCATTCTGTTCATGTCTCAGGGTGCTGGGTTATACATCTGAGTTTTGTGGGTTAAAACCAATTGTTTGTCCATATAATTGTATTATTGTATTATTTTTTATTAAATTATAACTCTGACTTATAATCTCTTGAGTTGAGTTCATTTCTCCTGCCGGTTTACCTTTAAACCAGCACAACTGTGTCTAAGATTTTCCTAAAACAAAATTCTGTCCAGAAACTCTAGACAACACGAGTATCAGATTTCTGCAGATGAAATGACAATTTAAACGCATAATAATACTTGCAACAGTTTCAAGTTAGGCAGAGTACATCTTTCTACCTTGCATAATTATATCTCAGCTGTTCAAAAACAACATCCAGTGGCTTTTTAGGTCAGGATAAATGCAAACTGTGGGTGTGCAATTATCAGTCACATTCATACTCTGAGCCTTCACTCCTTGAAGGTCATAGACGCTTGTTTTCACCTCATGTAAACAGTGTGAAGATGCTGCAAGCCATAATTATCACATGCAACAACGTCCCCACCCTAACTTCAGTTCCCCAAGTATATTTATTCAGAATTTTACCCAATCTGTTTCTAAAACATCCTGTGTGTTTTTTGACACTTTGGTCATGTTTTGAAATATTAAGGGATTGTTATTAAGATTAAATATAATATTTTCAGATTACAACTATAAAACTACCAGAGGAACTAAAGTAGTGCTTAAATGTCTCAATGCCTGCATCTCATGAACACCTAAAGCTCAGATCCTGTACTGTACCTAGCTACCATTGGGCAAAGCAAAAAAGGAATCACTAGGGAATTACTAAGACTCATAACTGTCAGGTTCTTGAGGAGAATTCTCTATTGCATCTGTAATTTGTCTGCAGGTACAATGACCGATCTGAAATCTTTAATGACCGTGTAACTTAAAAAGTTCCAGTTAGTTGCATTAACAATACAATTATTACTACCACCAATAATAACAATAATAAATAGTACTACATGCAATCAAGATTAGCAGCTTGAAACTTTCTCATTGGAATAGAGACTCCCAAGTTTCATTTCCTGCACCCACGACTGTTTAATGTCCCAAAACAATTTTATGTGCACAAATTGGAACAAGAGCCCTCAAAGTTAGCATCTGAATCACTTGCTGTCCAGATTCAGAAAAGCCATGCAGAACACCAGGCTAATTGCAGCAAGAAATTAAGCAACTTCATGAATCTGCTTACCAACAAGTCTTATTCTCGCTGTCTCCATGAATATTCTGCTCTCTTACACTGTCCTACTATACTGTAACAGGATAATGGAAGCAGTCACCCAGTACAACCCAGGTAATAGGGCAATGGCTAAGGAACCCTCTCAGAAGGGTTGTAACAGACACTGCCAACTGCCACAGGAAACCAACCTGCAATCAGCAGAGCTGGTATGGAATCATTCAACTTGGGGAAGGAGAGGATGGGGGTGGGGGTAGTGTAAGGGTGTGGGAAAAGTGGACAGTGCTTTCTTGTCCTTCAGGCAGGAGGAACTGCATCTTGCTTGTGTTAGGTGTTGGCTGAGCATGCTTACCCGCTGAGGCACTGAACCCTTGATACTGAATTTGTAAACTCTGCCACTGAAAGGCATGAGACGGGCATCAAGACAGTCAATCCTACTTCATGGTAGCAATTCTGAATACATACAAAGACAGAACTTTCAGTATCTGCAAAAACTTTAATGACAAAAAAATTCAGAAGCCTTTTAACTTTTTGGGTATCCCATATGATAGGACTGTGAAGTCTGTTTATATTTATATTTTAGATAATACTTGTTCCTTCACAAGGCACTCTCTATTTGCAACTTGTAAGAATCTCTATTTGTAATCAAGTTGTTCATCACTTAGGTCAGCACAGGGCTCTCACAGGAAGGAGGGAAGAGAAGATGGCATTGGTATTCATTACGAAGATATAAAAGGACGAGGACAGAGCAGGAGAGGAACAAGTGCCGAGAATGAAAATGTAGTGTGTCATCCTAGGAACATACACTAGCAATCTCTGCTCCTCTGACTACCTGCTTTCTAGATTACCAACCCCCTAATTTCATATACCAGAAAGCTCTTGGCTTTCACCAAATATTTTTGTTTCCTCCAACTGCTACTTCCTATGCAACAAATCCACCTTATGCGGAATCTCCCACTTCCTCTCAAAATTACTCCAAAAACTCACTTTCTGAAAATACACCAGAAACACCTGACTCTTGCACACCCACACATGCTTATCAGATGAATGTCTACAAAGAACTAGGAAGTCTAGGCAATGACAAATGCATGTCATATGTCACCCTCTTCTCCCCAAACCTTGTTTTTCTTAGGATGAGTCCTCAAAACCCACCTCTGCCAATGATGCCTACAGGGAGCTGCTGTCTGCTAATGGCAAGCCTGTTACCAAGTTGAAACCACAGCTCCTGGTGAACTGAAAATTGGGCACACCCTATTACAGTTGGTACTCTACTCCATCACCATTATCTCAACCAGCTCGTCTGGAGAAAGAACTGTCACTCAACGTATATTTCTTTTACAATATTTAATAATGATGTTGAAAGGGGAAGAGCAAACACTTCACATTCCAATACTGCACCTACAGGAAAGTCACTAGTTCTCCACACACAGATACACAGTTTTTAGAATTTACTTATGCCAATTATTTAAGGTCCCTACACACCTACAAGTATTATCCATGTATCTGTTATGAACATGGGACAAACACACAAGAGTCAAGATAATAGTACAACAGAAAGAGGAATTAGAAAGAAAATCCTACTCTATGTATTCAAATAACTTAATTGTGGGATTAAGAACTCAGTTGTTGGTTTTTTTTAAAGACAAAGCAATGAAATCAAAGAAATGTAGGTCAGAAGGGATCTCCCTAAGTCATCCAGTCCAAACTTCTACTCAAAGCAAGACTCCGCCAACACTAGAGCAGATCAGCCTTGGCTTTATCACCAAGGGTTGGGATTCCACAACCTCATTGTGTGACACTTGGTCCAGGGCTGTAATACATTTCTGGCAAGAAAAAACATTGAAGACTCCTTGCAACACCTAATGAATTTAAAGTGACTTCCCTAACACAGAAGTTACAGGAAGGAAACAACCCAAGCCAGCTATTCAGTCCAAAATAAAAAAAGGGAAAAAAATAATCATTAATTTCAAAAAATTGCCAGCTCAGAATCTACTTAAAATAAGAAAAAAAACCATCCTAATATACACAGGAAATGTATGCATGACTAACTCTTAAGGTCTATATTTGAGCACTACTAAATCTACAATCACTAAAGTTGCAAGGTCAGTTTACTGGAGGGAGCTACACCATAGAGTATTTTCACTGCTCAGCAAGCTGGTTTACATATTTACAAAACGTGTCCCAACAGTGTAGTATTTTTAATTAATTTCCCACCAAAATACTTAAAATACTAACAGCATGGGGGGGCAGTTCTACGTTAGCATTCAGAATTTTCATAGGAAAAGGGTCAAAACCCCCATCTACTTCATTCAGTTTTATGAAGGCCAAGTAAAGCCACACAGAAGCATGCAATCTCAATAAATATAATTTCTCTTCTGACCACTTACATTGGAGTTGGCGAAAATTGAATTTGAGTTGGCTACAGAATATTCTGCGTTGGTCAAGTCTTCATTGCTCTGGTAAAAGACAGAAATAACTTTAGAAATAATATACTCAATGAAGCTTTCTATATCTAATACACAGGAATGCTACTTACAGATTTACTACTAGGTCCATGTAGAAAATAATTCAGTGCCTGTGGGTCCCTTAAGGGGGAAAAACAATAAAGAAGTTAGCACTTTTTGGAAGTTCTACTAATGAGACTAATTTAACAAAGGCACATGCTGTATTCATATAAATCAGGTTGATAGTAAAAACACACTTCTTTCACTGAATCCAATGCAAAGCTGAAACTTTATATCATCTGAGGATCTGTGTTTCTGTATCAGCACAATTTTCAGATGTTAATTGTATTTGCTGCCACTGTAACAAGGCATTTCAAGCAATAAGCTATGCTGATCACAAAATCTTAGTTGCACTCTACTTCCCTTTATGAGGATTACTCATACGCTCTTAAAACAAATGGTATTTTATGACAAGACACAGTACAAAACCTAAGGAATGTACTACCACCAAATAACATGAGAACTAAAACAGGTACCACCTCTTCTACAGCTAAACTATAATGCCTTGTTTAGCTCATATCTAATAATGGGGTATTTACAAACCTGAATCTTTGACATGTTTTCTGCTGCCCTTAACATATATTAATAAAAACTTATGATTGCCAGAGTAACAGTCCCCTCATGGAGAAAATGTGGCACCTTTTCCAAGTGACATCAACCATAGAAATAACTGGCTAAATATTACAACTTTCAGTGTATTTCATTAACTTAGCACTACTGCTGATTAAAACTCAGATGAAAATTCTGGTCTGACAGAATGAGTACTGGGAATTCAAACAAATAAAAAATACATTAATAGACATATATAGACCAAGTAAAAACAGTAAAAGGCTGTGTTACATGGGATTATTCAACTGCAACAATTATGCAGCATTTCTTAACATGTCCATTAGCATAAAGACTAAACTGACAGATTTTTTTTATTTTAAAACACGTTTATTGATTAACACATAATGATACAACATTTTTTAGAAGCACTGAAAGCATCTCCTTCTTGCTTGATCATCCTAGAAAATAAAAAGGGAACAAGTTAAAGATCTTTCAGGTTTACAACTACTCTTCTAAAAGCAAAACATACGTTTACTCCTCTTTTTTCACAAAAGTTGTTTACAAAAGAGGTATTAGATAGTACTTGGCAGAGACCTTATGGTATATTATGCTTACAACACTGAAGTGGTTACACATATTGTAAAATGAAAATGTCATTTTCACAGTAGATTACACTGAATTTCAAGAATTAAGCAGCACAAAACTCATGGTCTCATATGGGGCTCTATCATGATTACATGTTTTATCAGTAAAATAACCAGGCCATTTAGTACTAATTACCCTCACTGTCTTTCAATCATGAAAAATGCAATTAAAAATTAAGAACACTTCATCACCTTAAATATTGTCTTTAGTAAGGAAGGAATTTTAAAAGGCACTTACCAAATCATAGATCAGACGGAAAAAAGGAAACGTGTTTTCCATTCTTCTAGGTGCTTAAGACAATTATTTCTGCCAGCAGCAGGAAGAACACTGTAATTTTTCACACAAACACTCATCTGTATAGAGAGCACTTCATTCTCTGGACCACCTGCGATCTTGTACCAGGATCCTCACGATTCACCCTCATGCCAGAGCACTTAATTATCCCAGGATCATCTTTATGTTTCAAGCGGGAAGTGTTTTCATATTGCCACAATCAGTAACCTTGTGCAACAGTACGCTGCACAGCAGTGCTTTTGCAACAGCATCCACAGAGCAACTCTCAACAGAGCAACCCTCAAACTACAGCAGCCACTGCAGTGGCATTTTGTTTTTTCTGAAGTTAAAGCTCTCACTGGTTTCACTGGAAGCTTTCCGTGTGTAAGAAAGGTAAAAAGCCTATTAAGTTACTACACTTAAAACAGTAAAAAACTTCTTGTGTGAGCTGGAAATGATCATTTAGCAACTGCTACAAGACTGATGTCAGAGTAACTTCTGGCAGAGTTTGAACAAAATATCATGTATGAAAAACTCAATTTTCTTCTGCTATGTATTATAGCATATTATCTGTTCCTGAGTACTGACGTGCATGGTAGCTAAAGGAAGGTAACTTGTCACATATAAAATCCACAAAAAACTTGCTCAAGACTCAGCTATCTTTATTTTTTTAGATTCCCATATAGAATTATAAAACTCCAAATAAATCTGTTATGGATGTAATGGGGGGCAGGGGGAGACCACACACAGGGAAAAAAAAACACCAACCCACAGGACCATTTAAAATCCTCAATTTTACTAAAATCAAGTATCTTTGAGCAAAATGTTGATAAATTCTTGTTCGTTGTGAACACTTTAAAGTACAGGGAGCAATTCTTTTTTTTCTAACATTTACATACAAATGTGTATTTATAAATATGAAAAAAATCATTTCACCTTTCCCTTTAAAACACAAGCATAGTATTAATAAAATAGTAGTAGTTCCACTACTCAAAAAACCCTGAGATCTTTAGATTTTCATTTTAAAAAAATAGTTAATTGCAATGAAGTTTGTAACAACATCCCTAGTAATGTGCTTCAACACTGATCTGACATTACCAGTAGCTGAGAACAGAATCCAAACTCCATGAAGACACATTCCCTAGCCCCTCCTGAGGAGAATGTCAGCAAGTGAAGTGTTAGCTAGTATGCACTGGGATTGAAGGCTTTGTGATACACAGATCTCCACATGGAAGAAATGAATCATATCTGCCCATTTCATTTGCCAGTCACCTCATCCTTAGACAATACTGAGATATAATCACCTTCTAGAAGATGATTTTGCAAAATTATTATTTCCAACTTTTCTGCAATAATTGCTTATGGAAAACTTACCCAATAAGATCAAGGAGACAGGATTCATCATCGTCATCATCCATGACAACTAGAACGAAGAAGGAGAGGATGGATATTTGATATGTATCACATAACAGTTTGCTTTCAACAACAAATTCAATTTAGAATATGTCAGTATTTTTTATAAAACAATTTATGAAGCTGACAGTTTTTTACTACTGGCAAAGTTCTTAAATAAATCTGCACTTTTACAGACATCTGCTGATTTATCTCAAAATCAAATTCAGTCACATTCAAAGACTCACAAAATCCCGTGCAATGTTTTACCCTTCAGGGGTTTTTTATAATTTTAAACCAGCGAAAGACAAATGATTCACCAAACTCATTAAACAGAACTTCTATGAGTTAAGGTAGTAAAAACATTGACACTGAATGCAATCTAAGACTCCAGTTAAAATGCTTCTATAGGACTTTATTCCCAGCTAATACCAGTGAGGGAATAACCAAACACACAGAACCTACAAAGGCTGTTACAAATTAGTGGCTATAATACTGAGCAGCCAAAAAGGTAAACAAATTAAGGGCAGTATCATGAGGGAGCTGCTATAGTCTAGAACCAAAACTACAGCCGAGACATGACAAAACATTAAAAAGAACACTATTTTCTAACAGATCTTTCTTAGCAATAGCTAAGTGACACTGTGGCCACTTCCAGTTTCTCCTCAGCAATATTCAGAAGTGTACTTCAATGAACTTGTGATTAACAATAGTGTTCTGACAGTCCTTTTAACAACAGGTGGGGAGGGAATTCCTTGGCACCTGAGGGTAACCTGAGGGCAACTATCCACTTACTGTGTGCAGAGCACTTTTAGCTTCACCGTATCATGACCACCAACCCTCTTATGCACTGCCGAGTCCGTCAGGTGCTGCCTGTACCAAACGTATTCCATAACTCTCTCCTCCGATCGCTGTTCCTTCAAGCTTCTGTTTGATTCTCCTGGGCTCTCCCGTTCACCGTAACTCTCAGAATATCATCTGAGACTGTACCTTCTCCTTTTTCCACGTCAGTAACTCTCAAGACCATCCCATCTAACCCACCAGTTCAATTATCAACTGATGCTTGCGTTTCCGAAACCTCTTGGTACCCTGGTTCTCCTATCTCATCTTTACAGTATTTTTTAATCACCTCAAGTTGATCAGTGCATTCTGTGCTTGTTTTTTTCTAAACTTCCCTTAAAAATTCTGCTATCATACTGATCACCTAAATGTATTAATACAGTTTTGGCTTTAATTCATTTTGCTCTCTCTTACTTCTTGCCAAACAGAAGCTTACTGTCCCTGACCAGAGATTCACGTGAATCGTTCTTCAGGTTGTCTCTCATACAGCTCTCCATAAGGATTCAGATAATGAAGGGACTGGAGAACCTGCTATATAAGAGGCTGAGAGCACCAGGACCATTCTGCCTGAGAAACAAAAGGCTATGGAAAGATCTTAGCCATGTGTATAAATACCTGGTGGAAAGATGTTAAGAGTATTGAGCCAAACTCTTCTTACTGGCATCCAGTGAACAAACAAGAGGCAAGGGGCACAAATCAAAAAAATATAAACCAAAAAAGTCTACTTAAACATAAGAAAAAACTTCTATTTCTTTTAAAAACTCTGAGGGTAGTCAAATACTGGGCTCAGGTTTTCCAGCAAGGTTATGGAAACTCTATCCTTGGAGATATACAGAACCCAGTTGGACCACAGCCTTGACCTGCCTGCTCTGGCTGAGCCTGCTGTGAGCAGGACAGGGGATGAGGTTATCTGCAGACATCCTTTCCCACCTCAGCTGTCCTGTGACCCTGTAGCCTCTTTCTTGAAATTTTTCTCAACTCCACTGATTCTGAAAATAGTTTATCCTGCAGACTAGCAGAGGGTACTGTGTCCTCTATACTCTATAGCCTTATTTGAGTTTTTTCTTTAGCTGTGTTTTACGCTTACAGGAGGGTGAAGCAGAAACAGAGCACACATCACTATAAGGATCATTCAGTATCACCTCTCTGGGAGAACAGGAAAACAAAGCATGGCTACCGAAAACCACCTCAAAATCAGCATTCGTGAGGTGATTATGCATCTTAAGAAAAGTAATTTCTCCCATGATTCAGTATTACATCTGCTTACTGTTGCATAGAGCCACCAGCTTGAGCACTGATCTTGCAATTTAATTCTCAGTAAATGGCATGACATTGTACCATGTCACAAAATTTAATGTAAATATGCATTACTAAGAACAAATTAATAAGCGATTAGCATTAAGTGATTAGCATTCTGCTTTAACTGTACTGCTAGTACTACTTACAGAAAGCTGTTATTTCCTCTAACAGCTGAAAGCACACCCATCTCTCAAGAGCAAGGTTCCAAAGACTCCTAGCTAACCAAAAGTAAAAATCTATCAAAAGTCAAAATTATCTTTGTTTTCACACTGCTTTTGAATATCCCATCCCATGTGTCTATGGCAATACTGACAGCATTATTTAAATACAATAAAATGTCTTTGCTTTACCTAATTAAATATTCTCTGTGATTATATTATAATAAGGCTTCACCATTAGCAAAAGTGGCAACATAGAACTTTGTTCAATCGATACTCCCGTGAGTATTAAAACAACTAACACAAATTCAGAGAAATTTGGTAATTTCACTGAATTCTTCAAAACTCGCATATAATGATCAGAAGGAAAATAAAATGCATGAAAGCACTGATGAGAGAAGATCTTAATGGTAATACATATTCTTCACTATTATGCCCTTTAGCTGAACATACAGTTGGCTTTATTAGATAAACATGATACAAGAAAGATTTACCCAACATACTCTAAAAGCCTACCAGTTTATGATAGACAATAAGCCCCAAAGAAAACAGCTGCATTTTTTATGAACACCAAGAATCACAACCAGTTCCCTCCTGAAGTGCAACTTTCTAACAAGCTTTAACAACATTCTTGTCATCACTAGCAGAATTCTGTCACACATGAAAAAGAAATATGTCACCTTTTCATTTTTAAGGCTAGTTTACCAATGAGCTAACCTGTATAAAACCATCTCCAAGTTTTCATACAGCTGATCACTGTACATCACAGAGCCACTTATCATACACAGCCCTTGCTACATTCAGAAGTCATTCCAATTAGCATTCACTGCACGAGGGGCTACACGCTCCCACACCTCGAAAACTGCAAATAAAGCACAGATAGATCACTACCGCCTTGCTATCCCCACAAATCATGGCACTAACAAGGTGCTGCATGGCAGTGCTTTTGTAAAGTACCACAGGACCAACATGCAATTTGAACAGCACTCACAGGGGTATGCGGTCTGTGAAAGAACAATCAAGATCACAGCCAAGCCAGAAACCTATCTATTTAGACTAAATTCTGTTCCTATTTCACCACATATACTCAAAATTGACACAAACCATGGAACTGCATGTTGTGGTTTAACCTGGCAGGCAGCTAAGCACCACACAGCCACCTTGCTTGCTTCCCAAAAACAGAATGGGGGAGGGAATCAGGGAAAAAAAGGTCACACTCAGGGGTTGAGATAAAAATGGCTTAATATGACAGAAAAAAACCCAACCAGAAAATAATAGCAATGATAAAAGAATATGCAAAACAAGAGATGCACAATGCTCACCACCTGCTGACTGATGTCCAGCTCAATCTAAGCAGCAGGCCATCACCCACCGGCCAATTCCCTTCAGTTTTATTGTTCTGCATGATGCCACATGGAATGGGATATTGTTTTGGTCAGCTGGGGTCAGCTCTGCCGGCTGTGTCCCCTCCCAGCTTCTTGCCCACCTCCAGTCTCCTCACTGGTGGAGTGATGTGAGAAGGTGGAAAGTCCTTGGCTTAGGAGCAATCACTACCCAGCAACAACTAAAACATCAGTGTGTTATCAACATCATTCTCATCCTAAATCATACAATTCAAATCATTGGTTGTTCTCACAAAAAATCAAATTCCCTTGAGGTTCATATAGGCCTTCCCCATCCTTCTGCATTAACCACTAAGTACACCCAAGACCCTGAGTAAATGCAATCCCATGGATGGGTTTGCCTTTGCCTGAAACAGGAATAACCCAGACTGGCTTCCCCAGCATATTTTTCTATGTGCACTATAGGAACTTTAGCCCCTTCTACAGTATGTAAAAGTGTTGATTGGGCAGGGCCAGCCCAATTAGCAAATCCCCTAGTGTAAACTAATCAGATGGCTTTTGCTAAATGTGTATCAAAATGTTTGAATGTCCCAGTACCCCTTGCTCTCAATGTGACCTTTAACAGTCCATTGTATCATTTGATTTTCCTAGAGGCTCATGCAGGACAGGGAAGGTGATACACCCAACTCAGTGCCATGCTCTTTGCCCATTTCAGCCGCTGTCCTCCATGCCAGAGGGGCTTTAGCCACTTGGCTTGCTTGACTGCAGTCCATGTGTCACATTCATGGATAACCTGTACAACAGTATCCGTGGTCAGGTTCACCCTGCGATCACAAGCCCACCTATATGTTGTATCTCTTACTTGCTGGCCTAAACTGTCATGGGCTCACCAAGCTATAAATAATTCACCCTTACATTGCCAGTGCAGATCCACCTGAGCCACTTCAATCTTAGCAGCCTGTTGTACCTGTTGGCTGATGTTCTTCAGTGTCACTCCAGATGAATACAGATAGGTTCTGTCCCTTTGTAACGTGATGGCATTAAGGGTACACTGTGCGCCACTGCCCACCAGAGTGTTATCTCCTGTGGCTTTGATGTGCCAGACCACCAAATGCACACAGTCCAATAAACCTAGTAGTCCCCCTTCCTCCACCTGGCTGGAGGCAGGGCCCTTCCAGTCCTGGTCATGGTGTTTGTTACTTCTTGCAAACACAAATCAGTTCCCTTGCTGGCGGGGCAGTATGAGAAGGTGAAAAGTCCTTGGCTTAGTGCAAGCACTGCTCAGGAACAATTAAAACATCATCTGTTATCAACATTATTCTCATCCTAAATCCAAAACACAGCACTGTACCAGCCACTAGGATGAAAATCAACTTTATCCCAGCCGAAACCAGGACACTGCAGGTTTAAATCTTTTTAACTGATGCCTATTTTCAACAACGATTAGCAAACGATTAGTGTCCTGTTAATATCAGGAGAGCAACAGTGGAGGTGAACAATCAGACAGAGTACCTGCACACCTAAAAGCAACTAGTTATTCAGTCTACTTAGAAATTTGAGTAACACATGACCTTGACACAAATGATCATTCAAAAGTGTGTTAGTAAAAGCAAGCTTGTCCTGTGGAATTTTCCAAACGCAATTTCTACAGCACAAGTGGTGGAAAAGCTTGCCACTTTTCTTGCCAACTATCTCTTCAAGTTTTCTGTCCTCCTTACTGTTTGTAACGTACAGTGGGCCAAAGCAATGATTGATGTATGAAATGGGTATAAACCATATTATAAATCAGGACAGTTTGAAAATAAATCTTACCACAATTAATGGAATTAAGAGTTATGTACCCTAGACCAGTGGTCTTCAAAGTGGGGTGCATCCAAATCATTTACAAGGGGCAATCCTCACTAATTAGTCATAACCCAGCACAGATATTCCCTGTAGCTTACTAGGAAGGCCTCTACTGTTTTATTTCATCTTTGCTACTGCCCTGGTGAATCCAGTATATACTTCAACTTGTGTCACGTGTACTTGTGCAAGCAGCACTGCCTACCCGTTTCGGGAAATAACCAGAGTGCCCTTTATCGCACACTCCCAAACAGAATACAAGAAAAGTTGAAAGTAATAAAACTGACAAGAAAATCCCAACTATGAAAGCCAGTCCTCTGGGAGACTGTTATTACTTGGCCTTAAAGCCTCTACCTTCATTTCAACACTCTGACCTACTACAGTGCAAAAAAGACCAACAAAAGACGAATAGAGCAGTCCTGCCCTCCACTCACCCACTTTCCAGCTCAAGGCTTTGAACTGTCACCCGGAACAGAAAATTGATCTGATAAAATACATCAATCTGTTTCAACTTAGATTAGCTTCTCAATTTGGTCCTGGCTTGCCACAGGGCTACAATAGTGCTAGTGCCAGCACAAGAGAACACGAATAGGAATGAGGGAGCCAGGTAGTTCAATAGGGGCGGAAGGCAGCAGTGCTTCAGTCAGCTTAAAGCACCTGTGGGGCTGCAGCCACACATGTTAATACAACCACGGCCCTCACAGCAGCCGCAGTGCAGGCAACAGTTCCATGAAAGTGATAATTCCCTTCTACTTAGTATTTGTGAGCTCCCAGCTTAAATCTGTGTTCAGTTTTGCTGCACACACCCCTCTTAAAATAAATACAAAACAACTTGAAGGAGTACAACAGAGTGCAAATAAAATCCTAGAGGCACATGAGGAAACTACTTTTCTTCAGCTTGGACAACAGAAGGCAAACCCAGGTGCTACCTGCAGCCTGCCACAAACTGAAAGACGCACTCAGATGAGCCAAGACAGCCTCAGCTCATCAATACACAGCAAGACATGAGGCAACAGCCAAAACATGCAACATAGAAAATCCCAACCCAATGCAAGGAAGAAAGAAGTTCACAAACAAGAATGTTCAAGCAAGAGGGTGGAATCGCCATCTCTGGAAATTTTCAAAACTCAAATAGCCCTGACCAGCCTGTCCTAACAGTGAAGCTTATTCTGCTTATAGCAGGGGGCAGGGCCAGGTAAGCTCCAGTGGTCCTTACCAGCCTAAATTTTAATCACCATCCTACACAATCCACAGCATCATGCAACTCATGTAGGGTCTATGATCTGCAGTGTCATTAAAACTAGATTTGTCCGGAAATGGTTCAACTTTTCACACATGCTTCATATACCATATGTGATTTTTGTAACTTGAAAAATGTATTTAAACTGCTATAAACACTGGATTTTAAATTCACTCAAATTATATTCAAGCTCGCCACAAAAGAATTATTTCCCTTTCTCAGAGTCATTTACAATTTCCTACAACCATAATACATGACTTCAGATACAAAGCAATAAAATATTATTTTCACACTCTGTAAAAAGCCCAAGATAGTGGCTAGCTTAGAAAAGCAACATTTAGAGCAGTAACTTCAAAAAGTGTTATACAATCAACATCAAAACTTGGTAAGCTACAAGTAAATAAACTGATCTACAAAACTGTTGGGAAAATCTACAGACTTGTAGGTTTTGTGCCAATACATGGAATCCATTCCTGTCTGGCAGCATGCTAGCACATGACTTCTGAGAGTGAACACTGACC